ATGATGATGAAGAAGAAGAAGATAATTATAATGATGATGAAGAAGAAGATAATTATTATTATTATTTTTATATTATTATTATTACTATTTTTAGCTCTGCATAACGATAAATAACATGGAGCAAGTCAGAAAGGCCTATTTGGCCGCAGCATCATCATTCATAATTGCCAACTCTGATTGGCTAACCGTTGATGTATGTTTATTATTATTTTATTTTTATTATTATTATGTTATTATATTATTATTATTATTCATATTATTCATGAATGAATGAATGAATGAGTGAATGAACGAACGAATGAATGAATGAACAAACAATAATAAAAAAGGAGAAACGAAAGAACGAAAGTAAGAACAAGCTGGTACGGGACCTGATGACGCAGACCGATGAGCTACTGGTGGAGAGCATCAAAAACGTCAGCGACAAAGTAGCTGATAAGGTTACGATCGCGGCGACCGACGACGATGATGATAATGATGATGATAATGATGACGATCATGATGATGACGATGGCGATGACGTCATAATCATCTTCGTCGTCATTCTCACAGATGAGGCCTGATATTAAAAAAGTTATTTTCCATTTGTGCTGGGCTCCAGAGGCGGCTTCCCATCATGAGGTGAATGGATGGATGGATGGATGGATGAATGAATGAATGAATGAATGAATGAATGAATAAATGAATGAATGAATGAATGAATGAACGCAATCAAAATTATAATTCTGACAACTAATTGATGAGAATTTTAACCTTTTTCTATTAAATCGCGGAAACCCAGTCTGAAAATCATTGCTCTAGATATATTTATCATTCATTTATTTACTAGTCCATCCATCTATATTTCATCCTTTCATTCATCAATTCATTGTATCATTCATTCATTGTATCATTCATTTTATCATTCATTCATTCATTCACTGAGTTATTTCTGTCAGTCAATCATCAACTTGATGAATTACTTGGATGGGAACCTTGCAACGGTGAACAAGTGTCTGCTAAAAGCGAACTTCCAAAGGATACTTCAATCCATCTGGGTTGAAGTTCTAGAAGAAATTGATTCCATCATTACTACTTCCGTTGAAGTGAGAAACTGTTCATCCATTCATCCATTCATCCATCCATTCATCCATTCATCCATCCATTCATCCATTCATCCATTCATTCATCCATTCATCCATTCATTCATCCATTCATCCATTCATTCATTCATCCATTCATCCATTCATCCATTCATCCATTCATCCATTCATCCATTCATTCATCCATTCATCCATTCATTCATCCATTCATCCATTCATTCATTCATCCATTCATTTACCCATTTTTCTGTTCTTTCTCTCTTTCTCCATTTCATTGCTTCATTCCTTCAGTCACTACTAATTTATTCATTCATTTATTCTCTCATTCATTCACTTACTTAGGAAATAAACGAAGGAAAGTGGATTCCAAAGCGATTGCACCAATCGTTGAACGTTCTGTTGGATTTTTTCCATGCCGGTGGAAAAGGGCTGACGAAGGAGATGCTGAAATGTGAACTCTATCAGGTTAGCTGGTTGGTTCATTTGTTGGTTCATTTGTTGATTGATTGGTTGATTGATTGGTTAATTGATTTATTAATTGGTTGGTTGATTGATTGGTTGATTGATTGGTTGATTGATTGGTTGATTGATTGATTGAAAAAGTCTGTAGTTGGAAGATTGGAAGCCATGATGATGACAGTTTTTGAGCTCATCAACGAATTTTACAAACAAAAGTTACTCCTTCAAGTTGGTTTTTATTCGTTTTTTTTTGTTTCAAACCATCTATTCATCTATTCATCCACAAATCAATTCACTCATTCATTTATTCATTCATTTATTCATTCATTCATTCATTCATTCATTCATTCATTCATTCATTCATTCATTCATTCATCAACCAACCAACCAACCAACCAACCAGTCGCAACAGGATACAGTATCCAATGGATACATAACTATCAGAGCGTACTATAATGTCGGCAGTGTCGTTGTTGAGGTCATGAGCGCACGAAACCTCATCCCAATGGATGCCAACGGTGATGATATAGTATCATTAGTATCATTTGTATCAATTGTATCATTTGTATCATCATCATTAGCGCTGTCATCATCATCGTCATCGTTATTATTATTAATATATCGTTGTTATTGTCATAACATCACCACCATCATCATCATCATCATCATTATCGCCATCATCATCATCACCATCATCATCATCGCCATTAGGACTTAGTGACCCGTTCGTAGTGGTGGAACTGGGACCTCGATTTATGTTCGGGTCAAAAGTTCACCAAGGTCAAACTAAGGTCGTCAAAAAATCTCTCAATCCGGATTTTAATGATTCCTTTACGTTGTGAGAGCTGCTGATGATGATGAAGATGATGGTGATGATGATGGTGATGATGATTGTGGTTGGTGGTGATGATGATGATGTAGATGACGATGTTTAGATTTTATCATAACAATTTTCAGATGTTAACGTCAAAGTATTCTTAAGAACCAAAAAATCATATTATTATCACCACCATCATTTCAATCATCATCGTTAAAACCGGAAGTGAGATACCGGAAGAGCTTTGCCGCAGCCAATCAGCGAGCGTCGTTTTCACAATAATGGACCACGACCTACTGTCGTCCAATGATTTTGCAGGGGAGGCTTACTTTCCACTCAACCAACTACCAGGTTGATGATGATGGTGGTGGTGGTGGTGGTTGTGGTGGTGGTAGACATGATAATGATGATATGAGTTATAATAATGATATTAACGATGATGATGATGATGATGAATTTCCAGGACTAACCGCAACAACACCAAAACCGAAACTAAAATTTCCAATGGAAACATTATCAACACCACCATCATCATCATCAGCATCGTCAGAACAGAGTTATGATAACGATCATCATTACCATCATCATCTTCATCACCAGACCAAAAGCTTAAGCTCTGCCTTAATGCCTATAACACTCGGAGTCATGCATGGAACAGAAACAAAATGTCTGTGGTGGTGGTGGTGTTGATGATGATAATAATGATGATGATGACGGTAGCTATGATGATGATGACGTTGACGATGATGACGATTGCGATGAGAATGACTTCAGAAGTAAAATGTTTAATTTATCAACGTTTTAACATCACCTTCATCATCACAACCACCACCACCATCATCATCACCATCATCATCACAATCATCACAACTACCACCATCATCATCACCATAATCAACATAATCATCACAACCATCATCATCAACCATCATCATCATCACAACAACCACCACCATCATCACAACCATCACCATCGTCGTCGTCATCATCACCATCACAGGCGATAGGCTAGTAACGATCCTGGAGGCGTTGAAAATGAGGAA